TACAGAATATAAAGTATTGTTTTTAGAAAATTCTGATTGCAAAGGGAGGGTAGAGTCATTTTTAAGTGTTATTATCTGGATGAAACAACACATGGCTCATACTTTTCAAAACAGAAAAGTAATTGAGATTTTAATTTTTAAATTGTTATTAAAATAATCAGGTTTCTGAGAGCTACACATGTATCAACCTTTTCAAATTTCAGTGGTGTGGTACATGTGAATGTGCCCCCTGGGACTTTAGCTCAGAATAGGAGAAATTTAAAAGTCAGCTATTACCAAGATACATCTCATAATAAACAAGTGTTTAATACTCCTCTTTTGAACAATATATATGTATATATGGGATTTTAATAGTTATGGAGAAAACAGACTCTGTTTTTAAAGAAATTACCTAAAATTCTACAATTATCCAAAAGAATACAGCTATTAATTTACAGAGATATAAAGTACCTATATCCTAAGATATATCAACACCTTGGAAGGCAGTGAGCATTGGGGATAGCAGGCTACTTGGGTGGGCTCCATATCAGGTAGAGTGCTTATTTAACACATGTAATTTTTACCTCTCTTGTCAATGTAAGCTGGCTACGTTTGGTACTCTTTTATAAGATGAGACTATATGCTCCAGGAAAGTTTATTCTTAGCAGTAGCCTTTAATAATGACATTTTTGCTATCAATAGTTTTCCTTTGATAGAAATAAAATGCAATTGCCCTCTTTTTCTTCCAACTTTATCGGACTTTTCCCCTTCCATTTAGTAAAGTCAAGTTTACATTTAATGTCCAGGAAGCTCTCTTGGTTGGGCAGCTTCCTGCTTCTGCCTTTTCGGTGCTGCATGACATGGGTCTCTGGCTTCTCTGTGCTGGCATTCATTCATTCACTATTAAATGACAACTAAGTGCTCCCAAGAGCCATCTTAGGGCCTTATTACTAACATGATAATAAATTATCTCAGCAAATAGTAAAATAATACAATAAAATAGCACCTTTAAAACCATTAGACCTTGCATCATTGATTTGAAAGAGCTTTATTTAAATTTCCTAAGCATTGTAGAGAGTTTAGAAAATATTCATATCCCTCTTGCGTTTCAAGTGAACAAAATCACTTTGTCTCTTCTTCCCTTCCTCCCATTCTTTGTAGCTTAGAACAGCGAAACTTGACTTTGGAAACAGAAATGATGAGCCTCCACGATGAACTGGATCAAGAAAGGAAAAAGTTCACGATGATAGAAATCAAAATGCGAAATGCCGAGAGAGCAAAAGAAGACGCTGAGAAAAGAAATGACATGCTACAGAAAGAAATGGAGCAGTTTTTTTCCACATTTGGGGAGCTGACAGTGGAACCCAGGAGAACCGAGCGAGGAAACACAATATGGATCCAGTGAGCCTGCTTTCTTCTGCTGTCTACGATGGCTCTGAGAAGGATTCTGGTGGTTCTGGTGAAATATTATTTGGGACCAGGTGGCCGGTCACCTGGCTGTACAGAGCTCTAACCGGTGAAAGAATATCATATACAGACATAAACCATCCATATCTGCAATGTGTACCAAAGTCATATATCATGCCCCATAATGCTACTGTCAAGTGTTACAACTGGATATGTGTATATAGAGTAGTTTTTAAAAAGTAAACTAAAAAGAAGAAGCATATCTCAAGAATTATTTTATTGCAAGTCTTGTATTTAAAGTGTTAAATCAATATGTTGCAATTTAGCTTGCTTTCAAGCTTCACCCCTTGCACTTAACATAAGCTATTTTTGGCATTGTGTTATCATCAGCTTATTTTATAGATCAATATTTTTATTTCCCCTTTTGCTGAGGAAATGAAGATAAACAGAAAATATAAATATATATAAAATATATAAGATGAGTTATTAAAATCAAAAGAATGCTTTGTGGCTGTGCTGTTTGTGCCAATAGACATTGCCATGACCAAAAAGAGAAATGTAAATCATTTTATAAAATACAGTAGAATCACCAGGAACCTTTGAACTGCTCTTAATTTCTTCCCTTGGCACTGCTCAGTTTTGCTTTGTGAGATGATTTGACATAGGAACTTTGAGGCTGTGCAAGAAAGTCCCCTTCTCGAGCTCCCCCCCCCCACCGTCTACCTTGCCAGATCCACAGATATATAGCTCCCATGTAGGATGCACCTTAGGAGGGGGAAAATGGTAAAAAATGACATTTTAATCAGTCACATCTTGAATTCCTCTGTCCTTCTGGACTGCATCTCTATAACTGCTGGGTAGTTATTAGAGGAATTCTTACTGCTGTTTGGAAGGTGAGAAACAATGCTTGCTAAACCTTGCCCATATGGGCACCTGTCCCACACCCAAACCTCTCCCCCACCTCCCAACATTTGCACTTTGGAATGCCAGCAGTGAAACAGTATTCCTATTCCTCTCAGTGAAACTGCTAGAGTATGTGTCATATGGTGGTATATTCCTCTTGCTCAGGCTGCGTCATCTGGGATTCTGCCTGCACCACAGCTGGCAAAGGCAGTTTGCACAAGAGGAAAACTATGGGAGGAAGGGGACCAGGAGATGAAGGAGAAAAGTTTGGACGGAACAAGCTGTTTTTCTTCTAATTTTGACAATGTCTTTCTTCCTGTTGAAAACATGTTCATTCACAATACTTTTAAAACATGAATGCGTAAAGGTGTAACTTTCTAGAAAAACCCAGGGGTCTCTGGAGCTAGAGTTTTTGGTGAGTAATTCTTTGCACTTCAATAAGATAATGATTTTGAGAAGCCAAGCAAATAAATCTTTCTCACACTAGAACAAAAAGTCACAGAAGGCATAAACAAAAATAAAGACTACCTGTGTTTATAGGATTTGTATTGTTTGAAGGTTGTATGTTTGCGTGTGTTTATTTAATTCCAAGAGGCAGAGTGGTCTTCACAGCATTCATTCTCGACCCTGACCTGTTTTTATGTCTTCCCACTGAGCAAGCTTATGTGGTCCCTCGTCATTGACCAGTATCTATATAGCAATAACTTCTTTATCTTAAGCTCCATTTTCTCTCTTTTTCTAATTATTTAACCAGATAGCATTCATTCTCGACCCTGACCTGTTTTTATGTCTTCCCACTGAGCAAGCTTATGTGGTCCCTTGTCATTGACCAGTATCTATATAGCAATAACTTCTTTATCTTAAGCTCCATTTTCTCTCTTTTTCTAATTATTTAACCAGATAGTTCCACCTGAATATCCTATAGGAAATTAAAAATCAAAATGTGCAAAATTGATCTCAATTAATTCTCCTTCTATACCTTTCCATCTTTTTCCAGTTTCTGTCTTAGTTAACGAAAGCCTCAGATTCATCCATGCAGCTACTTGATAGTAAAAAACAAAGCTTGTGGGCCGGCCCAGTGGCGCACTGGATAGTGCGTCGCTTGGGAAGTGCGGCAGCGCTCCCGCCCGAGGGTTCAGATCCCACATACAGACTGGTTCCCGCTCACTGGCTGAGCGAGGCGCGGGAGCGACACCGAGGGTTGCGATCCCGTTGCCGGTCCCGGTCCGGTACGCGACACCGAGGGTTGCGATCCCGTTGCCGGTCGCGGTACGGGCGCGACACCGAGGGTTGCAATCCCGTTACCGGTCAGTAAAAAAG